GGCAAAACACAAATAATAAATTTATCAAATAAAGTAAATGTGAACTGAAAGCTATGTTAAGATAAAATAAGAGTATTTTGTATTACCATTTGATAATTAAATATAGTTACACATTTACAACAGATTTTAGAACACAAAAATCAATGACGTACAATTTAGTTATTGATATTCTTTAGTTTAATTTAAGCATAGGTTTAGCAAAATACAATAACTAAATTTACCTAAATATACATATAAAAAACAAGATGTGCAAGTTATGTTAAGTTAATCTAACACATGTTAAGCAGTTCGAATTTATTTAAAGTGGCCTCCAAATTCATACATAACATCTATACATTGTAATTTTCATACAACTGTACACATCCATGAAAACATATCAATAACATTATTTTCATAACTTAGACGCTCTTAAAAATCCAAAGCAGAGCCGGAGTTGATACAGCAACGGTTTTAGAATATTGTTTTTCTATAATCATTGACAGTTCTGGAATAAATAATCCATGATAAAATGTTAGATTAAAATAAACCTACCTAATAGAAAATATTATATTTTTAATTTCTTTGTATCAGCTGTCTGAAATTGTGAAATATGCAATTTAGCAGTTCTTCATGTTTACATTGAAATGTCAAAGCAAATGTAAACAAACATTATTAGTGTTCTAATCGCAGCCATGGAGACCAATCAATATTTACTTTTAAAATCCTCACCTCAGAACTTTTAAAGCCAAAGGGGCAAAGCCTACGGTCAGTATCGAAATGTGATTAGTTCTATAATGGTCCTTGGTATGGTAGCTATATTTTTGTAAAATTTAAGCCCAGTTGGTTCAGTAGTTTTTGCACCTATTAGTAACACACATACAGACAGACACCTTTAGATTTTTATACAATAGTATAGATGTTGGCTAAATTAGCTGAAATCATGCTAAAAGTTAAATCATTGGGGTATGTAGATTATCTTGGTGTTTTGTCTCAATACTAAAATGAGTTGGTAATGTCTAAGCTAAACATAGAGTGGTCTCAATAGCATTAACAAGTAAAGCCGCAGAGTTTGCATTTGAATCGCTTAAATTTCGCAAATCAAGTAATTAGTTATACACTGCCTTATAGCTCACAATAATTAACCAGATATTGCAAACTAGTTATTACATACCTTTAGAGATAAAAAGGGAAATATTATTGTTTATAGAATAAAGGTACTTGTTTACGTATGCGAGGTACAAGTAACAGCTGTTTAAGCATGATACCTAAGCGATAAAACAGCTGATGATGTGTAAAGCATTAGTCATGTCCAGGCATTGCTGATAGGAGGCCATCAATGCGATAACTCTTATCTAACGACCATCCTGTATCGACGTTTGATACTAGCATTTACCTTCGCCCAAAAAAGAATTTGCTTAATTTCTCTGGAAGATATTTGAGATGTACTTTTGTAACAATGCAGATCAGTTTTGATGTCTTACTGCAAAATATTTTACTGGTACTCAATTTAGTAAAACAGCTTTATCAATCTTTGGTAATCCTTAAGTGTTTACCTCGTGATATCAAATTTAAAACAAATCGAGAAAACACATGTAAAGAATATTTTAAGTTCCTTGTCACAAACAAAAGTTCCTAACACGAAGTTCACAAATGATTATATTTATTTAAGAATACATTCAAGGTATGTGTAAAGCATGTTTCATGCTCCTCCAGAATAAGGTTGTATTCTCTTGACTGGTGATTTAAATAACTGTGTTGTCACATCCTACAAAACTGTTGCAAAAAACATTTCATGTGTTTTTATTTCTAAGAATATAAAAGTTAGAGCTGTTTAAACTCGAACTTATTTTTTCAAATCACTGTTGACATGTATTATGAAAAGACAATCAACAATGATATTATGAAAAGACAATTAACAATGACGATTGATCATCTTGTGTTGTTCCATGTTTGTTGTCACCCGCTCATTGTTACGATGTAGACCCCTCTCATATCTCCACGTTCTGCCATTTCAAACGCAATACATTATCTACATTGTTCAATTCGATGTTTAATTGACAATTGACTATTGGATACTGAAGTATACAATATTTGTATCAATATTCAACGATATTAGTTTATGAAGTTTGATGCCAAAGCCTCAATTACATACAAATTGTATACTTGGTGACTTAAACATTTCAGCAATTTGGTAAACAGCAATTTAATTTTGACACAGAATAATAGTTTGCTCATATTTTAAGGTCAAAATTACAACGCTTAAATGTAACCCAAAATTCATGTGATATAACAGAAATTAATTGTTTGGTTGTGTTAAACTACAATAATTACAACTATAAATTAGCTGTAATCTTCAATGTAGCAACAATGTTGTAATTATAACAGCAATTACCCCAAAGAGTAGTATGTTTTAGCAAAGATCACGTAGTTTTGTATTAGAAAATTATTGCCAAATTTGTGGCAACACGATTAAAATAAAAATTTAATTTTGATTGTTTGAAAGTGTGTTAAGCTATAATTCTTCAACTTACTGACTGAGAAGATAATATGGCAACTCTAAAAAAAATATTCCATTACTAAGGTCCACCACAATAGTCATAACAGAAAAAAGTGCAATAAAAGTATTTCAACACTTTATATAGTCAAGCTTTGATTGTTTGTTTTTTACAGTGGTTACGGAATTAGGCCAAGTTGGTACTTTGAATTACATCTTACGGCAACAACCAAATTAATGATATCCATTACTAAATTATGATAATGATTCCTAACAGTCTGTTGTACAGAACAACTCTTAATAAAATAAGACAGGTTCACGGCCTCATCTAATCTTGAATTTTCTCGTCAAAGACCGAGAGCTTGTGCGTAGAACGTATCAAGCAAAGCAAGGAGTAAGTTGGTACAATACAACTGTAAACTACGTGGATCTAGTGTCAGGTACCGGGGTCCGAATCCACGACATCGCTGCATTGGGCCAGAAGCCCATGGCACTACCAACGGAGTCATCTCAACTTACTAAGTTCACTTGGTCAAAGTGAAAAACACAGATGAGTGAATAATATGATACTAAGACTAAACTACGGATTGTAACCACCATATACTCAAAAACAAATTTTATTCATTCTCATTAAAAGAATTTAATAACAGTTAGTTCACTATACAGCAATTGATTTGTTGTACTAGGTACGTTTTTTAAGTAAGGGCCGTTTTTAAATTTCTTCGTTCCAGCACTGCGATTGGCATTTTCGACATTTGCGCTGTGTATGTGCATATATTGGTAAGACATAGCAGGAAATTTGAGAAAAATTGGCCATGTTTACATCCGGTTTCATGCATTCGAAATGGTGCCGCCAATTGAGACTGCCGCCGACTGTGAAGTGCGCGCTGTAATTAGATATTTAAGAGCTTAAGGCGTGAAAGCCATTAAAAATCATCGAAAGATTAGTGAAGTGTATGGCGACAACATTATGAGTCTCATAATTGTATGCAAATGGATATGGGAATTGAAATACGGTACCACGAACGTTCATGATGAGTAACGCATTGGGCGGTGTCATTACTGTCCCAGTTCCCATGATGACAATCAGTGCGTTGCTCATCATGAACGTTGGTGGGGCCGTCTTAAAATGTCCTTACCTACTTGCGTACCATTCAGTCACTCATAATGTTCTCGCCATACACTTCACTAATTTGTCGAAGATATTCAATAGCTTTCACACCTTTAGCTCTTAAAAATATAATTACAGCGCTCACTTCACAGTCGGCGGCAGTCTCAATTGGCGGCACCATTTCGAATGCTTGAAACCGGATGTAAACACGGCCGATTTTTCTCGAATTTCCGGCTATGTCTTACCAATAGATGCACATACACAGCGCAATTGTCGAAAATGCCAATCGCAGTGCTGGAACGAAGAAATTTAAAAACGGTCCTTACTTAAAAAACGTACCTAATATCATTTATTCGAATTAACTTTTAAAATTATTCATAAGCCACGAGAAAAGTACAAGGTCGCAAGTAACACTATTTAATCATTACATACCAAAGTAGGCCTATCTTTCTTAAACGAAACTACATAAATTAAAGTCTAAGAACGAATAAACTGTAATGTATATTTTTATTTTATCATCGCTATATTTTTACCGATAGAAGGACCGGGCATTACTTGGGACGTCTGGAGTGAAATTGCGCCACGATGTTTGACAAGGATCTGTTTCCTTGGAAACTGTAGCTCGGTGGTTCTGAGAAGAAATATTATAAGTTTAATTTAATTTACCTTCCTAGTAAAAATATTCTTACAAGCGCGTCCTGGAATATAGCTCATAATGACGAGTATTATTAAATAACTAACTAGAAACACAGGATTAACAATTTTTTTAAATTAAATCCGTTAATTTAGTTAGTTATTATTTTTTTTATATGCCCTATTTATCCATGTTGTAAAATCTACATAAAATAAGCTATGAATTAATTGTATTACTTCTGTACAACAGACTGCAGGAAGTTATTAACTTAAGTTGGTAAATTAAATCATTAATGTAATGGTTGGTGTAAGATCTAATTTACAGCACATACTGAGCCTAATTCCAACCTGACTGACTTCGAATAAAAATATAACTACCTGCAAATTTATAAACGCTGCCGAGTCACTTATTCCGATCCAACATGTTGATATTTTAATCAACCTATGCAGAATTGTGTAAACCATTGAATATTAGATACCGAAGTAGACATCCCATCTATATGGACCAGCTGACGCCAATTTTGTTTTATTAAAAAAGAACATCGTTGTATGAACCAGTGGAAGAATGTGTTACTGTATTTTTCAGCCTTATTTAGTGTTGCTGAAATAGGTGGTACACAAGTCATTTCGTTAGTTTAGTTTGGTAAAAAGTTTAAGTATTTAACAGAAATTAGTAATTTCGATCAGCACAATCAGTCTGCTATTATAAATTTTATATCAAATGCATTATTTTCAATTTTTTTATTTTACTTTAATAACTGATTTGAGGTAACATTGTTTCAGCAAGATGGCTGCCGTGACGTCATGCTGAATGCTGAGCTCGATGATGCTTCTGAGGAGTCCGTATCTTCAAGCAGAAGAAGCAGTAGAGGTATTATAATAATTGCAGATATTTCAATTATAAGTATAATAAACAACTTAATAATAATGGTTGCGAACAAAATATTCCGTTTAGTTAATAAAATATAGCAAAATGGTATAGGCTAACAATTGTTTTTTTTTTACAAATCTAGGATACTCTATACATGAAATAGCTCTAGTTAGACAAACAAAAAGTTTTACTGACTATAATAATGGTACAATACCTCGTCAAGTAGTCCAAATGATGATTGAGGTTAGAAACCTACATGTTTCGCCGTAAATACGGCATCGTCAGGGTTACAAAAACGAAGACATCGATGTCACACGCACACAATAAATACACGGATACGAACATTTAATTACGGAAAGACAAAGTAAACATTTAATTGACATTGGTAGGCCTATCACAAGCACACGACACGGACGGTCCCGGCGCAGGTAGTAGACTGCAGTGTCAGACTCCTTCCTCGTTGTTGTCCATGTTATCAGTAGGACAAAGGTCAGGTGGCCGGTTATTTTGGTGAATTAACACATTGAAAATAGAGTGTGACTGGAACTGCAGTTTTTCGTTGAGGATATGTCCACTGGCAGTGTTGTCGTGGTACAATTTGTAGATTTCAAACTCCTCTAACGTGTTTAGTTTACTACCTTTACTGCATTTATGTAGCACCTCAAGACCGTCAGCAATCTCACTCATGTTATGGTTTAGGTCGATTAAATGCTGAGCAAACGCTGAATTTTGTTTGATTAAACGTGGTTTGGGCCTGTGTTCGTTGTAGCGAGTAGCGAACCCACGACCTGTTTGCCCAACATATTGGCTCGGACAATCTTGGCATTTAATTTTGTAAACACCTGTCATTTCCATTTTATCTCTTGATCGGTCAATTTGTGACAGGGTGTTACGAGTACGGTTTGTAGTTTTGAATGTTAATTCGATTCCCTGCCTACGAAGCTCTTTGGATAGGCAATTTTGTAGTGTGTGGGAATATTCAATACATACGTACTTCTTACGTTCGTCCTTTTGTTTGACCTATCTATTATGGTGTTTGATTATAAGTCTGTCTACAAGCCCGCTATTATAGCCGTTGGATATGGCTATATGTTTGATGATATTGTATTCATTATTGTAATTTGTGGGACTTAAGGGGACCGTTAAAAGTCTGTGTACCATAGAGCTGTATGCTGCAATTTTCTGAGAATGCGGATGATATGAGGTTGCGTGAATGGTCTGAACTGAAAAAGTGGGTTTCCTGTAGATTTTATAATCGAATTTATTGTTAATTTTAGTTATGGTTAAATCTAGGAAATGTATTGCGTTGTCTTCTTCTGTTTCTAATGTGAACTTTAGTCTCGGGGCTATTTTGTTTAGATAATTTAGAAGTAGATCCAACTGTCTTTTACTGCCATCAAACAAGACAATGGTATCATCGACATATCTATTGTATAATACTATTTTAGAATGATATTTGTTCTTGTCAGATAAAATGTACTCATTTTCAATGTAATTTAAGTATATATCAGATAAAATTCCAGAGAGTGGGGAGCCCATTGCCAGACCATCAGTTTGAGAATAATATTTCCCATTAAATGCAAAATAGTTTTGCCTCAAAATCTCTCTTAACAGGTCAATAATCTCTTTTATTGCCTCTGGTAACATAGCTGATTTGTTTGTTAAGTTTGTTTGTATGATATCTATGGTTTTTTCTACGGGCACATTCGTGTATAAATTCACTATGTCGAATGAGGCAAGCAAATGATGGTTTTGTATGTGCCAATCTTTAGTTTTGTCAATTAAATCATAGCAATTCCTTAGGCTGTGGTTATTGTCTAGCACTATATTATCCTTTAGGATTCTTTCTAGTCGTTTAGCGATATTGTATGTGGGTGCGTTTGTGTAGTCGACTAGTGGCCTGATGGGAACACCTGTTTTATGAACTTTAGGAAGCCCCCGTAGTATTGGGGCTGATGGGTTCATGATACGTAGATAGCGGATATCGTTATCAGTGAATAACACTTTACTCGAATTTATCAGAGTTTTGATTTTTGTTTGATAATTTTTAGTAGGTTTTTAGTAAGTTTTATTCAATCTGCCGTTTAATGAAAGGTTGTTAACACGTCCAAATAGTACTTATACGCGTTAACGTCACTATATTAATTTGTTGCATTGCTATTGAGTTGGTTCACCCAACATTTTGGAGCTTATCTACTTTTGGCACATTAGTAGATTGCCCATAGTCACCAGCAGCAGTCAGTTATATTCAATGAGAACGCAACCACTAAACATATACACTTAACATGACAACGTGATGCCAGCTTAACAACGCAGCTTTCGTCGTCACATAAACAAGTTTTTAATATAGAAGTATTGCTCTTAAAGTAAAGTTTGTGTAAACCAAAGTAGGTAAGCAATGCTCGAGATAAGCATCTTACTGTTTTTTCCTAACCATGCGTTCCAATTGCATATTAATACAAATTGTTCTATCGCAAAGACTTTCTTTACCAATAACATTAATGTGAATAACACGGCTGCCATTTTTGTTTATAAACATTGTAGTCGTATTAATAACTGGTGTTCCATGTTTATTTATTTTATGAAGTACTTTTATATTGTTATTTAATTTCTTTACAAAAAGTTTTTAAGTTCAACTAAATTTAGCCTACCATTGATGGAGTGAGACTATTTCAAGTATATGTTCTTAGAATACTCAGAAAGTAAGTCACCGAACATAGAAGATGGCCTAAAAGGCTTGTCAAGCTAATAGATAAACAACGAACCGGTTGTGAACTAACATCGTTTTGCATACCAAAAGCTTTTGTCTCCCAGTCCATTAAATATATTTTCCTTAAAGCGTGGATTTTAAATCGGATGAAGCTATTATAGAAAATCAGAAAAGAGTATTAACCTCCAAATTTTAAGTAGACTTGGACTTAATTCTAAATAGGAATTTGAGAATTTCATGTTCATTACATAATTTTAAGTCCGAAAGTATGTTCTTTGTAAAATACCTACTGTTATAAACTATGTTAGCAATACCATGTACTCAAATACCGTTATAATTGGTTATATTTGTAACTATGTTCATTTTTTAAATATTTTTATGGCTGGTCTATATAGATTGGATGTCTAGTTTGGTATCCAAAAGCTATTACTTTCATGATACGTCTGACTGGCCACAATTATAATAATTAATTGACCTAGTTAACATATTAAATACTTGAAACACCATTTGAATGTAGCAAATATATCTATTCGCTTGCCTAAAAACGACGACCGAAAAATAAAACCAAAAAGTTGTTCAGGTTTACGAGATTACAGAAAGCTTTCTCCGCACAGATGTTTATGTTTACGTTCACGTAGAGATGGAGAAGTTGTGCAATATTGGACCAAAGAGGCCTGAGCCTCTGGAGAGATATCGTGAGTTATTGCTACCTGAGGGAGGACGAGCTTAAAATAGCTCTGCCAACCGTCACTCTTAGAGCAACCACCAAGCTTGCATTTGGCTGCAATACTCACAGCAGTAAAGTGGTTGAACACAGATGAACTGGTTGACTACGGTGACAATGTACATAAATCTCCAAGTATTTGTCAAGTCAAGAGTCAAACTAAATAAATATAAAATATATGTTGTAATAAAAATTCTATTCTGAACGGATTACGTTTTTTAAGTTATGTAAAATGTTTCAATATAATTCCTAACCACTAGAAAAGATACACAAAACACAGTTAAACACAGCACAGATTCTTGAAGTTCCATAGCAAAGTTATTGATTTTTGTTAGTGATTTTGAGAATGTATTTTTTGCCTGTACCCTGTTACATACCTCAATATAGTCATCTAGCCATCGCCCCATACAAAAGAAATAATATATCAATAGAGGTAGGTAATATAGTTAGCTTGGATCTATTTGATTGTACTTTTGCCGTATAAAACTTCATTCATCAAAGCTATCGACCATTTGTGTGAATGCGTTATCGTAAGCATCTAACAGCTTCATAGTTTGAAAGCTATAAATATATTTTTTTATTTTTAAAATCTTAATATCTTCTATAAATTAGAGACACTTTTATTGACTGTTATATTTTAAGTGAGTACATATAATTTATTTAAGGTGCATACATTTATAACCCATAAATGTATGCACCTTAAATAAATTATATGTACTCACTTAAAATATAACAGTCAATTAAAGTGTCTCTGATTTATAGAAGATATTAAGATTTTAACAATAAAAAAATATATATTAATAGCTTTCAAACTATGAAGCTGTTAGATGCTTACGATAACGCATTCACACAAATGGTCTAACTCCTTTTTGTATTTATTCAACAAAATACACATACATTCGTTGTTTTGAGAAACAGCAGTAATGAGTTCCTTTTTCTGGGCAGTATTTTGTATTTAATTGTTTTTTTATGATTGATAAAATGGAAGAATTACCTTATCCAACCGCAGTTGCTTCCATTTTATCAATTATATATTCCAACCAAGGGTCACAATGAATAACATAACGTTTTTATGATTTTCAATGCCTAAGTACAATGTTTAATACAACTTTAAGCTCCAATACAAAATAAATCTATTCAATTCTCACACTTTGCGCTCCGTATGCAAATGCACTCAGCGGACTAAGAAACCAAGCTTTTGATATGCAAAACATTTTTCGTCTACCTTGCATATATATCTGGTTGCCTGTAAAACAGAGACTGTTCAATGCAGAGGATATATTTATTGCTTATCGTATGGTTATATATTGGGTATAGCAGCAAATGGTGTCAGAACAATATAAAACGAATACTTAAAGTGGTTTAGATACCTGTATTTAAGTAATCCAATTCGTAAACCACTTTAAGTATTACACAGAAATCCGGAGGCTAACATCCATCAATATGAAAATAAAAAGTATGTGATTAGAGTAAATCTATCGGCAATACATACTAATATAATTACTTTTTAAGGTATTTATAAACCCCAGTGAAATTTTAACCTATAAAAGAATGAGCGGAAATAGTAAACTAAGCTTTATTTTAATCAATACAATTAATATTATAAGTTGCATTACACAATATCTGAGGCAATAATTGCTGAGGAGGGTGGAAGGTTTCGCTAGCTAGCCTCACAATGCTACCCTATTATACTGCATTACATAAGAGATCACGACATAATGTGTTGTATTATATAAATCAAAATGTTAAATTGTGTTTAACATGGCACACACATTATATCTTCTTCATCGCACAACAAAATATAGTGATTAACACCATGTTATAATATGTTCTTTAAACTGTGAAATTATAAAAAGAAATTGTATAGGTGTAACTAATGTAGTTCAACATTATTAGATTATTTTTTTACAAATATCCTTTACGTATGTCTTCTGTAACCTAGAGACAATCACCGGCCATGTTTGCCTCTTGTGACTCGTCAATATTTTAACACTTACTGTCACACAGAAACGCGCGTACTTTCCCGAAACAGATCTTAAGTGTTGATTAAGACAGTAGGCAACGAAATGTTTAAGCTTACTTGCTACATCTATATCTATAAAAGAGGAACTATGTATGTATGTGTGTGTGTGTATATACGTTATGGACTCCGAATCCGCTCGACAGATTGTAATGAAACGTTCAGGCATTGTTAAGCATCTCTCAAGGATGGTTCGAGTGAAGTTTGGTGCAGATCCGTCAAAAGGGCTCTGCCCCAGAGGGCTTTAAGTGGGCCAATGTCAGACTTTTTGATCTACAATGTTTACAAATGAATATAATTTAAAAGCAGATGTTTACTTTCAACAACTGTTTTGTAGGTTTGAATAATCACAACATTCTGTATTAGCATTAGTCATGATTTGAAATAGTGCCACAGTGTTTCTACAGAGTGCAGCACAGAAAATTATTTCACTTTTGAATAAGTCCAAATGTATTAAACCCCAATCGCAGCACACCTGTGCACTTAACAACGTTTAAATTCTCCAATGTTAAATATTAAAACATAAAAACCTTTATCAAAGTATTATAAACAATAAAAGGGGTGACTTTTTTAAATTTATGACAACAGCTAATTTGCAACCAAAAGGTGAGTGAGCGTAGCGAACGAACATCAACCTGGAGGCGAGTAAGCGTAGCGAACGAGCTAACCTGAAAACAAGTGAGCGCAGCGAACGATTTCCAACCTGAAGGTGAGTGAGCGTAGCGAACGAACTTCAACCAGGACGTGATTGAGCCATGCGAATACTTATGAAGTTAAGCGGGGCAAAGCCCGCGGGTACAGCTAGTTTACTATAATAATTAAAAATATGTTTTATGTATATATATGGTCTCTACTGTTATAGTATTGCAAATCAATGATTTATTGTGTTCAAACCAAAAACAAAATTAATTTTACTAAACCGTTGACAAACTTACACAGTTTTTACTCTGAGCTTAATTTACTGGACTTAATTATTTTATCAGGCGTAATAATGATATATGAAAACTGAAAACATGTTCAACACAGTTTTAGATACTGTAATGTTTTAAAAGTGTTTGATCAACCAAAACCTAGTAGAACAATGCGTTTTAAGTAAACAGAGACTTTGTTCACTTACAAATAACAACAGTTCGTTCAATGATTTTCCTTCCGGTTTGTACTGAATGTTACTGTTAATTTAAGTCGTGAATAGTTCCAGTATCAAATTGTAAGATATGCAAAAGGTTTTCCAAATAAATATAATTTTAAATACACTTAAAACTGTAAAAATAAAAATATTTCTTCAGGTACATTAACTGTTGCCCCCACGAATAAATCTGTAGACTTGACATTAAGAGGTTTCTTTATGATAGACTATACTTATCGTTTTATTTTTGTTTTTATATATTAATTCTATGGTGTTCATTTCCTTAAATAATAAAACTAACAATATTTTTCAGTGCTGAAAAATGATCTTCTTCTACACGAGGCGGTCATCAAAAATGACCCGGATGCGGTTAAAAAAGTACTCAAGGAGCACGTGGACATAAACTCTAGGAATAATGTGAGTATACTCTCTCTCTATATTCGTTTATATTATATTTCTATTAGATCAATTCTTATAAAATAAATATATAAGGTATGATGTACAGTTGAACTATTCAAAAAGAATCATAAAAATTTAATATTTAGCTTCGGTTATTATAGTTTTATTTACTTCTGCATGTAATTTCGCATTTTTGTTGTGATTTGTTTTGAATGCATTATGGTAGCTAGCTATTTATTAATTTTTGGAGTCGCTAATAATTGATTATCAAGCACCACAGAAAACTCAACCATATACCGAGATATATTACATGTTGGTTTTACATTACAGTAAAAATATTAGTAAGAAAAAATTGCGATTGGGTTTCAAAGAGTGTACTTTTACTTGTATAAAATATATAAGTACGCTATATCCTCTGATTTAATTAGTATTAGCATTGACTATTGGATACTGAAGGTATTAGGTAATGTTGAGAGAGTGGGAGATCTTATTTACTGTAGGATAATGTTAAATCTGTAGTTTATTTTTATTTTTTAATTATTATTTTTATGTCCTTTTCTATCAATCTTAATAGCATATAGTGTATCTTATTGGCCAGCATGTTACGTATAACTTCTCATTATTTATCTTCCTTTCTCCTATGAAATTCTACGTATAAACTTTTTTAGTAATTTATGTTACCGAAATATATTATTCAGGATGGTAATGGTTGTTTAGGTTAGGAAAAGAGTAATGTCAAAGCTTTTTTTCATTTATCGGAAAAATATTCTTATTTGTAAGCTGAGGACCGTCTCACCTGCCAACACCTAATGACCTAGATACAAAGTTTTCCAAAAAAGTGCTAACAATAAATTTAATTATTATAATGATTTAGCCGTTTGGAAATATTATGAAGAAACAATAAATTTAATTAATTATCTTAGTCCAGACGTGTTCCGTTTCAATCATAAAAGCAACATGTAACCACAACATTGTGTGCAGTGACTGAAAACAATCAACATGATGGCGAGAGTGCACTTTAGGACAGCTGTGGGGTCTGACTTTGTGAATAGTTCATTAACTACAGCTGATGTCTCCGAAAGGGCGGGATTATTGCCCTGCCTCAGTGATATGACTACTACTTCGTTTTGAGAGGACGTATTACTTTTTATTATAAAACCAATTTATTAACTACACAGACAGAATTGTTCTAGGTTATTTTTACATGCAAACAATAATTACAATTAATAATGATTTTGTTATAAGTGTTCAAAACTCATCTGTATCATAAATCATTTAAAAATTGTTCTATGTAAATAGTTTTACTAAAAACCTTAGTTAACTATTTTTTTTAAATACAACTAAAATAAAAATGCTAACTTCAAGCTGCTATCACACATACCTATTATCAGCCTTTACTAAAGATGATTTTAAACAACCGGGCTACAAAAATAATCTCAGCAAATGAGGGAATCTGAACTACTATACCTAATTGTCCCACTCTCTTACCAAGGTGTCACCTTATTTGTATAGCTAAGCTAGCTCTAAGATACTAAGATCTTAATTTAGCTGTTTCTAACTGTTAATGCAATGTAGCTTTTCTCATTTCCAGTATGGAAGAGCCCCCATCCACTGGGCCGCCTCACGAGGGGCCACAGACATCATGGAGCTTCTGATCAACGCTAAATGCGACATCGAGGCCAGAGATCGGGTAAATGTATTATTGGGTTAACGTAATTGGACTTTAAATTTACTCTTGCAACTCAACACCATAGCTTGTAATTTTATACTTATAGCATTATTCCCTTATATTATGCACTTTCCTAGTCTTGCCATTTAACAAATCAAAACAGTAACCAACTCTCGGAACTTTAAACTAAATCTAGAACTCTCTTTTAATTTAAAACGCTTGTATGACCTAGTATGCAATGTAATGCAAATCACTTTAAAAGGCTACTACAATCAGGTAAAAGCCCAGGCGTGTGTTTCCACTGAGCGTCACGAAGGGTAAATAAACACAACTGCTAGAGTAGTCTGCCTAGGGTCGTGACGTATTTCATAAATAAACACAACTTCTAGAGTGGTCTGCCTAGGGTCGTGACGTATTTCATAAATAAATCCAAAGACATGAAATGGTCTTGTGTATTTCATAAATGGGGAAAACGAATGCATTTAAACACTTGTGTTGATTTAAGTGGGTATTTAATTTTACTCGTATTTATACTTCGTTAAACATTCGTTAGTAAATAAAAGTTCGCAATCCAGCTGTTTTGTTTTACTTATTAATCGTTTCATTAAACATATTTCATTGAGTCTTCCTCGTAATTTTACAATGTCGCTTTATTTACAGCATTTACTTGTATGGATATTTTTTTCATCAATATAAACATTATATTTTAGATTCTCTACAATTGATTAGATTAAATATTTTTATTACTTTATTTATTTAGGCCTTTCCATGTCATTTGCATTTTTAACATTTTTTCTGAGGAAACCCTTTTAAAATAAATGTGTATTCAAGCTGATGCCACAGAATACTAGCCATAGAACTTCACTGGCAAGACTTTTTCATTGTATTAAAAGTGCCACCCATATTGAAACACTTATTTTGCTTAGAATATCTGGTTAATAGAGTTGTTTACTCCCCAACATTGAAGGTTACTAATTTTCAACCAACTTTTAAAGTAGTAGTTATTGTTCACATAGAGCGTTAATAGTTTCAGCTGATTATATACTTGATAAACTTGTATGTTGCAGTACGGTATGAGACCGCTACTAATGGCGGCGTGGCACGGACACACAGAAGCAGTTCAACTACTCATCAACTGTGGAGCCAGTGTGGTAGCTACCAACAAGGTGGGTCACGCAGCATGCTGACGTGATGGGGAGTGTATTGGAATATATACAATATGGGGGACGTGTTAATTATGTAGACTGTATAAGAACAAAATAAATTGAAGATTGAAAAACATATTTGAACTGCATTTAATGAAAGAAACATCGAAAAGAACTATCAATAAATAAAACATCTAGTGGTAAATTTAAGATGGGAACAAATTTTAGTATTGTCTAGTCCTATACACCGTCAGAGATATTATTGAAATTTTAGGTTTGACTTAGCTTTTTTATTTTTAAAAATCAAATCGCACAATATTTATTATTATTAACGAGGTGTTAGCCCGTCCTACGTACGGGAATTCAGTAGTCAGTTAAAACAGTGTACAATTCAGATCAGCTAGTTCACACATATAAAGACAAAGTTTCTTGCAGTTTTAATGTGAAAAATCATCTTGTAAACAAATGTTGTGTGGCCAAATATGTTTTGGCTGCACTTTACTTTAAGTCCTACACTCATTCGAATGAAAATATCTATCGATATATCGATTAATCGATTGTTTCGTTCGATATATCGTTTGGTTAGTTAGGTAAGGTTAACCTAACCTAACTAACCAAACGATATATCGAACGAAACAATCGAATAATCAATTCAATAAAACATCAATTCTGCAATTTTTATGATATGAAAAGCGTTGAAGTGAGGCAGCCGATTCGCACAGACGCACACCGATTATAAGTAGCCTACAGTCACAGAATAGTAGTACGTTTTCTGTGCTACAGTAGAGAGAGTAATAGTCAATTGAGAAGTGTATAGACCTAGTCAACGATACTACCTTCCATAGCATACCTGCCTCTTCATTAATTTTAATTATTATCACCACAATACAACTACTATACACAATTTCCAGTAGGTCTGAATAGAAACGACCTAAAATAAAACAATAATATCCAATAAAATTCACAGTACACATAATTTAACTTTGGTGTCCTAACATCAAAACTAATCGTTAATAGTTAATAGTTAATTTAAACTACAATATATTCATAGTTAAAATAGTTAAAATATAATATATTTTCACGTTTGGGGGCGCTGATATAGGCACCCCCAAACTTAACCACAACTGAACACGATTTCATAAAAGGATGGTTTGTCTAATTGCAGTATCCTAGGTCAATGTTGACGTTGTGTTCAATCTATGTCATCCATCTGTTTATCTTTGTATAAAACCCGGCTGAGGTTGTGGTGGTAATTTAAAATCGTGATTCCTGATTATTCTTGATCTTCTTTTTGTGTCATCAATATTTCCGGGCCTAATCCAAACAAAGTTAAAGCAGACAAACATAATTGTAAACAAAAAGCTACCATGAAGAATTAAATATGTAAAAATTGTTATTTTTCTAATCTTTCCTTGAAAAGTGGAGCAGTAAAATAATGTGCATTTATTCTTTTTTATTAAGACTCGTGTAAGCCTCGATTTGTACTGTGGTTTAATTAATTTTGGTCTAAACTATTTTAAACTGTGGTCTAATTATCTCTACTAATCTTACTTATTTCCTATAATCAATGACAAAATAAGAGTAAATAAAATAACCTCATAGTTCCATAGTTTATATTTAACCAGCTGTTAGTTAAAAAAATTATATTGCTCTAAAGCAAATCGAAGATTACAAAGATTGCTTAAAAAATAATTTGAACATCCTAGTATTTTACTATGTACATTTAATTAATCTGTCATCCTCTTACAGAAGAATTGAACGTATCAATGATTAGCATTACACATAGTATAAATAAGTCAACCCTAAGTATGTCTTTAAATTTTTATCCAAATGCTGAATTTGTGACACAAAAGCTGAATGTTTACAGCTGTTATGTTAAACAAATTATTTTATGCCAAAAGCTAGTTTAAAATCTTAGCGTCGGCTGCTAGACTTTTTAAAAATTAAAACTCAATTTCTAAAAAACTGGGACCCTAAACTAAAATTATGGCTTCGACATTCCCTAGTTCTCAAAATTATCTTTCTTTCAACACAAAAATCATGAAAATCCGTCGAGTGGTTGATTCAGAATCGTGAAATAAAAAACACAGTTTCGTTTTAATATTATAGATAATTGTTTAAACAAACTTAACCAAAACCCCTTAGTTCTAATATTTACAGTTATATAGCCAATGTTCTGTATAAAGTAGATGAAGCTTCTAAATCTTTTACCACAAAAATGGTAAATAATAAGTCAAGCCCTTTATCCCCCTATAAGTAGTTCTTCTTCTCTTTATTTGTGGTCCAATCAATGTCACTTTGTGATGAATGTGGAATCAAAGTTCTAAAAAAGGTGTAGTAACGATATCAATGAACTCAAAATAATATGGTAAAAAATTGTCCAAAAAGTCAATTTACCAATGAGTTAACTTCGATGAAAATGGTGTTGCGTTTGAAAAAGTGAAGTTAAAGTGCATTACAAAATTAGAAGTTTGAAGTTTTGAACCATCAATATTCTTTGACGTTCCAACTTTGAAAGTTGTTAATCTACCAAAGGCTCTGGGAAATGTTATAAACTTTTTAAATAAAAGAAAAACAATCATTGAATGTTATCTGAACTTCAGGAATGGAAAGCAGAAAAATCAGATACGACGTCTTTCAATCTCGAGCATTTGGTAAGTGTAGGATGCTTTTATATTTGTGCAAAATCATTGGTTAGTTGAAACTCATTATCTTGAATTTAATAACTATAATTATCGTGTGTTTTAACATGGTTCACCAAATTCCAAATTTACAAGTTAGTGTATTTTGGATTCTAATGTTTTCAGTCGGTGCTGTAACTAATATAACCAACCATAAACTATAAACTAGGTCCTCTATTCATAACTCATAATCACGCAAATCCTTTACGTTAATCCACAAAACTTTTCTAGCTGAATATGTGTAAGCTACAAGTATATTTTTTTCCATGCAGTGTAATCTTTGATATTTGAAATATAAAATATCAGATTTAAGCGTCGAACCAACTAATGCCCCCATTGATCCATACAAATAGCTATATTAGGGCTTAAGCGTCATATGGCTGGATAATTAATTGCACGTGTAATGCTATTAATTATGATCTCGAGTAGTATTTTAGATGTTGTGATCATGAACCAAAACTTGAATCGTTAATTTAAGGCGTACTTTGGCATTATTTTGCTTTCGAGGATTATAAACTGTACCAATACATAAGGTTAACATATCAAAGTTTCACACGCTATATTTCACACACGTGTTCATTTTTTAACACTTGTTCTTTGGTTGTAAGTGACTCTCTTTTTTTCTTACCAAACGTTGCTTATAGCTATTTTTCGTATTAAGTTATATAATAATTAAAATGTTTAAATATACCGGCTGGCCTCTGTCTCATAACAATTCGACAGCATGCACATTTTAAAATTATGAGTCAAATATTATATTATTGGCCTTGTAAACCTTCCATCATTATATTTTTTTGTTATTTTCGTATATCTTTTGCTCTTTAACCTCTTGGTTATTAATTGATCTTTGTTGTATATACATTCCTATATTTGTTGAAATAATCCGTAATTTATGTGTGGTAAATACAACGTATTCAATTTAAAATCGGCTGCAATGCAACTAAACTGACATACCAATTTAAAAAATAACTATCTATAATATAGGCTATGATGACTGGAAATAAAAACAAATGTACCACCACTTTACAATGCCTATGTAGTAAATATTCTGCTATTCTTTTTGTCTTGCAAGTAAAACTGTCGCAAGAGATCATTTATCTACTTAAATATCAGCTTCTTTGAATAAATGGTTTCAACTTTTGAAAGAATTTAATTTTGAAATGGTTGCGGAGAAAAGACCTGGAGTTGTAATTTAAGATGGGTGACAGAATTGCCTGTTTAATTAAATCTCATTACCGTTTCTATTGTAAACTTTAACAATTGATGCAAATTCAGGACTTAAATAGAGTAAGTACACGTTCTACAAATATCCACAATTAATTTATCAATTTATTTACTTATTTATTATGTATGCAAATTTGATGTGTTTTAATAAATAAAAAAAATCCCTCCTAAATTGTTTAATTATAATTAAATGTAAAGCCTATAAGGTTATAATAAACTTTTGATAAATTTGATTGAAAAACTCATCACTAGTAGTGACACAGTATGTATTCTGTATGAGTAACACAACTGGTAATCTGTGGAATCAGATCTAAAATGTTGGATTGAATTGTTTATTCATAAGAGTTTCCAGGCGTGATGAGCCCAGGGAGTCCCTAGTCAGATTATTGGAGGTGGCGGCTGGCCTAATCCCGTGTAATGATGAGAAACTTTTGATTTGCCTCTGGAGATGAGCGGGCTGATGAGTAAAAAGTAACTCCTTGGGCTTCGTACGCTGGAAAACGTAACACGAATGCGTACAGGGACGTTGAATAGCATTAAAATATTTTGTTTACAGATATACATTATTTTATGTATGGGAAATTTATTTTTATGATGTCATTGAATTGTATAGAAAATATCATAACCCTATACTGATAGAGAGTTGAATATCTACCCTACACTAAATAGAGAGCCTATCAAACACTGACTAATTAAACATTAATCTGCAGCAAGTAAAATCAAGTAGAACGGCACTAAATATTTACATTATTTATCTCTCCTTCCAATAACTAGTTTAATACCCTAGTTTAATACCAACAACTAAATATTAAATTTAACCGCTATTTATACGCCGAGATTTACCTATCTAATATGTAGTTTATCCCGGTTGATGGGATTTCCAGTGAAATGATTTAAAATCCCAAAAATATTAAAAAGCTATAATACAATTTTTTTTTTCTTTAATTAGACCTTACTTGGTAATACTTCATTGTTGTTTAATCACTTGCTACGAAATTTTTTTTTTCAATAGAAAAACAATTATCACTATCAGTCACGAACATAGTTATCGTATATGATTTGGGCAGCTATTGTTTATGCTGTGGCTACATAACAAAATACCAAAAAGTTTTTTTT